ATTCGGTGACTGGGGTAATCAGGATGGGTGTGTCAGAGGCAGTGCGGTTGGCGCAGGATAGAGCAGGGTTTAGGGCTGTTGTGCATAGGGTCGCTACGAGTCGAAAACGACTCGACGGCTCATAACAACAACAACAACAACAAGTGTCCAAAGTGGAGCCAAGCAAGCTGAAATTGTCAACAACCTCAATCTCATCTCCATCTATTATAGTGCTACCAACTGGCCCAGTGGTGAGAATCTTTATCTTCTTGATGTTGAGCTTCAGTCCATATTGAAGACTGCAGTCCTTGAACTTCTGCAGCAAATGCTTCAGGTCCTCCTCAATTTCAGCCAGTGATGTTGTGTCGCCTGCATAACACAGGTTGTTAATTAATCTTCCTCCAATCTTCATGCCACATTCTTCCTCATATAGTCCAGCTTCTCAAATGATCTGTTCTTCACATTCATCGAAAAGGTATAAAGAAAGGACACATCCCTGACACAATTCTTTCCTAATTTTGAACCATGTAGGTTTTCCCTGCTCTGTTTTGATGACTGTTTGCTAATCCTAGTACAGGTTTCAAGTGTTCTCGGATTTCCATTATTCTCAATCTTGGCAACAATTTGTTGTGATTCACACAATCAAGTGCTTCTGTGTAATCAATGAAGGACAGAGATCATCCTAGTACTCTTTGCTTTAAGTCAAGAACCATCTGACATTGGCAATGGTATCCCTAGTGCCACAGCTTCTCCTTGATCTTTGATTAGACAGTGTGGAAATTATCAAATAATATAAGAAACTTTCACCAGAAATACTTCAGAGAGAAACCCATCCCTAAAGCTGGTACCTGGGATTTAGACTTAAACTCACCAAAGACTGGCTTTAGAGACCAGCAGCAGCACAATTCATGAGGCATCATGGAAATGATTTGAGGCCTGAACCATCATAGTAAGGTTTGGCTAGAGGTGGGGAAAGTGGTGGCGGGGCTAAGCAGGGGTAGAAGTGATGTTGATGGTGCAGTAAAAGAGAAGAGACTTAGATGCATGTCCCAAAGAGGGGGACTGACACTGCATCTATTGGCTACTTTTGTAATGGGGAATTGTCTCTCATCTGTTCCTCTCAGGAAAATGTCTGTCAGATATTGTTCTAAAGCTGAGCATACAGCTTAAGATAGACTAGGAAGAAGGACTGCTCATCTACTCCTCAAAAAATAGGCCTTTGAGAACCCTTATATACAAAACAGCACATTTTGTAGATTAGCAGATATGGCACCTGAGGCTGAACCCCCACAGTGGGAAAAACAAAAGAGGAACAAAGGTTGTAAATAGGCACTAATCACTAGAACATGGAATGTGAGAAGTGTGAAAACTGGACATTGTTAAGGAAGAAATGGAATGTATAAATACGGAGATACTAGGAGGCAAAATGAGATGGACTGGCATGGGGCATTTTGAATCACACAATCATATGATCTACTATGATGGAGATGAAAAGGTGAGGAAAAAATGCGGTCATATTCAAGTTAAAAAGGCCATTTTTAGATCCATCTTGAAATATAAGCAACAGGATAATATCCATATGTGTTTCAAATATATGCACCAACAACCAGAGCCAAAGAGGAGAAAACAGATGATTTCTACCAACTATTGAAGTCAGAAATTGATATGCATTGCTGGTAGGATTGTAAAATGGGAAAATAACAAGGGAAGGCAGTCTTGCATTTCTTCAAAAGGCTGCACATAGAAATCACGTATGACCTAGGTATTCCAGTGCTAAGAATATATCCCAACAAATCAGAACTGAGAAAATAATGAAGATATGTACATCTATGTTCATAGAAGCAGTATTTACAACAGCTAGAAAATGGAAACAGCCTAAACACCATCACCAAATGAATGGATTGAGAAATTGTGGTACAGTCACACAATGGAATACTACAAAGCTCTAAGGAAGACCAACTTTGTAAAATACCATACAATATAGGAGAGTCTAGAGAGCATTATGCTGAGTGACTAACTCAGTCACATAATGTCAAATAATGTATAAGGCCACTATTGTGAAAATGGGATAACTGAGCAAGATACGTATAAATGTTCAAAAGGGGAAAGAGAAAAGGGGGCCAGAAAAAGGGGAAGGGGAAAATCACCAGGATAGCAGAGGTTAGTGGGTGGAATGGGTGGGTGAAATAATGGGAAATATGCAATTGGGACTTGAAAAGGTAGGAAGATAGTTGGCACAAACAATCATAATAATTATATAAAACATATGAATCTTATAAAACACAAAGTTGTTGTTTGTTGTTATGTGCCGTCGAGTCGCTTGCGACTCACAGCGATCCTATGTACAACAGCCCTAAACTCCGCTCTGTCCTGTGCCAATCACACTGTCTCCTGACACTCCCATCCCAATTGTCCCAGTCACTGAATCAATCCACCTCATAGAGGGCCTTCCTCTCCTGCGCTGTCCCTCCACCCTCCCAAGCATGATGTCC